TTCCCATTCTGACATTCAGTTTGGAGTTCAGGAGATTGTCTTGACCAGGACCACACCCCTAAATGCATTGAAGCAACTGTCATGTGATTGGTTGATTAGATAATTGCATTAATGAGAAATTGAACAGGTGTTCCTAATAATCCTTTAGCTAAAATTATTATTTTTCACCAGCTTTTTCGACCTAGGCCCTATTTTCTCAAAACTTTACCTTAAATGTTTACCTAAAGTGTACCTGACACCCAATACATCCCGTGGCCTAAAAAAGAACACAACAAGGTAAGTGCATATAAATACAATTTTGGGGAAAGTTTCGAGACCATACCCTCTGCCCGAGGGAAACGGAGCCCGGCAGGCGACGTGCGCGCTTCCGCGGCGCCACGTCAACGCGCGCGCTCGGCCTGCTTCGGTGTCTCCGCGCGTGCTCCGTGCAGGTAGCAGGATTGTCGGTGATGATGGCGGAAGAGGAGCGACGCTGAACTATCTCTGCTTTTATTTAACGGTGATAAATCGCTGACACGCATCGTTTAACTCGCCCCTTTGCTCTTCGGTGAGCATGGGGAATGAAGCCAGCCAGGAGGGGGGCGGTCAACCCGGGCAGCCGGCTCCCACACCCACCAGGACGGGCGCTCCTGCTTCTGGTTCAGCACCACCGGGCTCTGGACAGCAAGTGAAGCCGAGTAACGGTGCGCCGACCGGGGTGAGAGCGGCAGGAGGCGGCCCGGGAGTTAAAAGGTAAAAACCAAAATAAACAATGTAAACATTTCTCTACATTTCTCTTACAATAATCGTAAACCCCCCTCGACAATTGCATAAGACTGTTTGATCCCAATGGATTGAGTTTCAGTGGCAAAAGATGCTTGTACAGTTTATTTTCAGTTAGTTATATTGATAGCATAATCTCTAAAAACTACTATTTAAGATGAAGAATATTTGATTTATGGTATTGGTCGGTGACAGTTTATTGCGATCTTACATATTTGCATTGGATGTTTGCTAAACAACCTGTCAGTATAGGATGACATGCACGCTGTCTGTCTGCATTTTGGAGCGGTTTGCAGTTGTAATTGTGATATGGCTTCTCGAGGGGGTTCACTGAAGAAGTTGAAATGGTCGCTGTTCTGCTTGGCCTGGTGGGGTGTGAAAAAACTGATTTGTACCTGGATCGCTGCCCGACACACAGTAAAACCGCCACTGTTCCCAGTCTGTGTGTATCACCATCTGCAGACGTTTGTAGAGTTATAGGATTGGCGGGGGTCATTTTTTGCTGGATGTAACATATCCTTCACAAAGAAAGTCGAATGCAAGATAACAATAATAATAAAAAACATTAGAACAACCCGGCTTAATCATGTCAGTTTTCGTGGAAAAAGTTCATTTTTAGTATTAGACTGATGGATAATGTATGCAGTAAATTAATGCAAAAAGAATCAGTTGTTATCTGAAAAATATTGTAGCGGATATTTTAGTTATGTAATGCATATCAGTATTTTGTGAGAATGGCACAAGCGCTCCAAATGCTGGGCTACACTAATTAAAATTTAAAAAGGAGTATGATGTCACAGTAAATATTTGACACGTTACCGCTGCCAGCACAGATAACTAGACCTTTATGTATGGTAGTTGTATATGACCTATTAATAGCAACGTCGCAGAGCAATAAAAATATCTATTTCTCCAAGAGTGACTGGAGCACAGTCTTTCCCCTAGCGGTGTTTTGAGTGTGGATTTCTGGATGGATGCTAAATGGCTGAGACTCTGAGGGATGTGCTCGCCTGCACGCTTGCACTGTCGCAGGTGGGACGTAAGGATAAGGCCGGCCGATGTCTGCTGGTGGTGTTGTAGTGAAAACGCACACCCTAGTTTGACAAGGCTGTGCGGATAGTGCAGCAGCTCCATTTTTAGCTAACAGGTCCTATATTTTATGCACGGGACATACGGGTCGACCTTTACCCAAGTTATAATGTGCTTGCTTCACAGTTTTATGCAACATTTTTATGCCATCTGGTATTCGCCATGACTGGCATTGCAATGCAACTACTACCAGTATCCATGTTTTACGTGTTATTACGGTTGTTATTGAATCTTTCGGGTATGTCCAACTGGGAAGTGACCCCAGGACAGACCCAGGAGACTCTGGAAAGATTCTTTCTCTAAGCTGGCCTGGGAATGCCTTGGTATTCTCTCAGTGGAGCTGGAGGAGGTGGCTGGGGAGAGGGAGGTCTGGGCATCCCTGCTTAGACTGCTGCCCTTGTGACCCAACCCTGGATAGGCGGCGGCAGATGGATGGATGGTTATTCAGGTAGTACACTAATGCTTAAACAAATGTGGCTTGGTGGTTTTTCCAAGGCAGGAGGGTGTCTTGTACAATGGCTTAGCCATAACTTCCAGTGTTAGTAGAGCAGCCTAACTGAGCTCTACAGGTGTCAGTAGTGGCCCAGATTCAACTGCACATGCTGTGCCATTAATATACTTTCATTTTTTACCTTTTATGTGATTTCCTGAAACCCCTCCACAGCTATAAAAATTACTGATACGGTGTAGAGTGCACAGTGCTGCTGCAGTTGAGTCTAGTGACCCTCCAAACCCTGATAGCTGGTGTTCACAGCTGCAGTAGGGATGTGCAGTAGGGAAATGTGGAGATAACACATCCTGGTCTTAGAGGAATGTCTTACGAGGAGAGGTTAGCGGAACTGAATCTGTTCAGCCTTGAGCAAAGGAGACTAAGGGGGGATATGATTCAGGTCTATAAGATTCTAACGGGTCTGGATGCTGTTCAGCCAAATGACTATTTCAATATTAGTCTA